GAGAAATTGAGCTGTGGCTGCTGCTTTACCTAGCAGACCTTTCTTGGGTTCCCTGGGACATGACAGTTGTAGGTTTAGCTGCCGTTCTCTATCTGTAAGTAACATTATTCAGGCTTGCATCAATTTTGTTTTTAATTAGAATCCTCTTTGAAATTGAAAATATTAAAGGAGATCTATAGATACACTGGGAACTGCAGAGCCAGAGGGTTTTCAGATACTGCCTTAAAAAAAAAAAAAAAAAAGGCATTTGTAATCCTTAAAATATTTGCCTTGCTTTATTTTCATATCTTGAAGACAAACAGGTGCTGTGTGCCCTTTATGATTCTCAAATATACAATCTCCAAGGCAGCAATCTTTAAAGCTTTCCCTTGTTTGTACAATTAGGGTGGGATTTTCAGAATCACTCAGTGTTGGTCTGTCCCTGCTCTCATTTAAGTCAAACTGCCACTGACTGCAGTGAGAATAGTGTTAGATCAGTACGAGTGCTTTTGAAAATCCTTCCCTTGGCTTCTTTTTTCAGTCACATCTGTGTACAATTGAATAAAAAGACCTTTGTAATATACTGTAATTATTCTGTGTTGTTTTCATACAAAAGTGATTGAAAGGAAACCAGAAGAAAACCTATAATAATAATCTTAACTTTGATCTTATTTACTGTAAATTAGATGTTATGTTTTTCATCTCCTTTTATGTTATTATATATTACTTTATCACAGTGTAAGATAAGTCACTGAAAACACAAGGAGTAGAAGTAACTAGGTAATATGGAGGGGAAGAGCACTCACTGGGGAAAGAACTTGACTCTTCATGGTCTGTTGAGTTTCCAGTGCTGCTGATGGCAACTGCCGTTTGAACACATGGGAAAATCAGGATACTTTACAGGCAAAGCTAATGCTAAAACCTCATTAATTTAGAGGCCACATGGCCAGCTTTGAGGCATGGTTTTCTGGATGGCACCTTCCTAGGAAACCTCCAGTTCAGGTATCTGGACTCTGTTCTGCCCCTGTGCTCTCCACCTGGCCCTGGTCCACCTGCTCCTCCCTAATTCATGTGCTTGCTTGGTTTCCAACGTGTGTTTCAGTGACATTTCTGCTCTGCTGCTGAAGAGCACATGGAAGCCTACTCAGATGCAGGGCTGGTTTTCAGCAAGAAGACCTCTGAGTTGCCTTGTCTTTTAATAGCAGGGTTCCGCTCCATCTTTAGTCTGATGGGATTATTGGTTTGTATTTGCATTTAGTTCTTCCCACCAAGTGTCACAGATCAGAGCTGCCCATCGCCAGGGTCCAGGCTGGTGCCAGACCAGGGTGTGAGAGCCATGTGCTAGCCCAGGTGTGGGTGATCAGTTGGATAAACTACATGGCATGTTGTTCCTCTTCATGCACTCTTTTTATGTCCTTGTGTGAACAGCAGAAAAGGTGTCACAACTCAGGAGTTGGAGTCTCTCCTGCAGGAATG